ATTGGGAAGAATGACGAGATTAATGAAAAAGCAAACATAAAAATTTAATTAGATAATCCTAAAATTTTAACTAAAATATCTCTCATGGAAACACATTTAAGTCCCTATGGATTCAAATAGAGTATAAATCATTTTGAATCAATGTAGAGAAGATTAGAGAAGATGAGCAATCATCGAAAGCGTCGAGAAAGATAATGTACTGTGAAAGATAACTCACCGTGGTGAAGAATTGAGCCAAATCGAAATAGTTCTATAGAGAAGCTTCATCAAAACCTTTTATGGCTAAGGTTGAAAAGAGGAAAATGGTTTTTAAAATAATTAGTAGGGTGGTAATTGTATGATATTCTGTACTTTGGGATTTTCTTCTTCAAATTTTAATTTCTTTTTATATATAACTTATTAAACTTCATGGTGGTTTTGCAATATTCGCTATAATTTTATTACCAAGCTTGAAATTTTTTGTTGACTAATTTATTATTCATGTATGGAGAAACATGAAAAATATTTTCATTATCTTCCCAAATTTGATATATATATATATTAGGAAATAGGTTTGTAATTATATAATACTGTGTACTGAGATGTGTAATTCAAATTTTATTCATCCTTGCACATATGCTGACACTATTTTTATTGTCTTGTCAAATTTGATAAGCAAGAAAATGTGGCTGCTAATAACTATTTCTAAGAAGATTCATCTCATTTCGTTCTACAAGCAAGGATGATTTGGAAGTGGTAAATTCGTATAACCTATAAGTAATATTATATCAATCTTCAAGATTTTTTTACTTCATATTTCAATGAGGTGATTGTAAAGCATTCCAAACAAGTAAGTTTTTAAAGCCGATAAATTTACATAGAAAATTCGTCTAAATCGAATTATATATTGAACAATATAAAATAATAATGCCCAACTTGGTGACTCAGAACGAGTAAGTCATCAAAACCGAAAAAAAATTATATAGAAAATTCATCTAAATCAAGTTGTGTTGGATAGTGAAAAATGATAATGTCCAACTTGATGATTTCAAACAAGTAAGTTATTAAAGCCAATAAATTTGTATAGTGAATTCATCTAAATTAAATTGTGTATTGGATAGTGAAAAATGATAATGTCAAACTTAGTGACTTCAAATGAGTAAGTAATTAAAGTTAAGAAATTTATATGAAAAATTCACCTAACTCAAGCAATATGTTGGATAGTGCAAAATGATAAAGTCAATCTGGTAACACCAAATGAGTAAGTAATTAAATCCAAGAAATTTTTATAGAAAATCTACCTAACTTAAACTATAGGTTGAATAGTGCAAAATGATAATGCACAACCTGATGATTCCCAATGAGTACGTAATTAAAGTTAAAAAATTTATACAAAAAATCCACCTAACTCAAGCTATATGCTGGATGGTGTATAATGATAATGCTCAATCTGGTGACTCCAAATGAGCAAGTAATTAAAGCTAAGAAATTTATGCAAAAAATCCATTTAGATCAAGTTAAAGATAGTGCAAATAATAATGTCTAACCTGATGACTCCAAATGAGTAAGTAATTAAAGGCAGAAACTTATATAGAAAATTCATCTAAATCAGATTATAAGTTTGATAGTGAAAAATGATAATGCCCAGTCTGGTAACTCCAAATGAGGATGTAATTAAAGCTAAGAAATTTATATAGAAAATCTCTCTTAATCAAGTTAAATATTGAAGTGCAAAATGATAATGTCCAGCCTAATAATTCTCAATAAATAAGTAATTAAAGTTAAGAAATTTAGAAATCAGTTTATATATTGGATGGTGCAAAATGATAATATGCAATCTGCTCCAAATGAATAAGTAATTAAAGTTAAAAAATTTATATAGAAAATTAATCTAAATCGAGTTATGTATTCGATAGTGCAAAATGATAATATCTAACCTGTTGACTCCAAATGAGTAAGTAATTAAAGCTAATAAATTTATAAATCAAGTTATATGTTGGATAGTACAAAATGATATTTTCCAATCTGATGAATCCAAATGAGTAAGTAATTAAAGATTAAAAAATTTATATAGAAAATCCATTTAAATAAAGTTTGATGTTGCATAGCGCAAAATAATAATGTCAGTCCGACGACTCTTATAAACACTATACATTTTCTATCAGTTCCTAGTAAATTATAAACCAACTTTTTTATCTTTTCTTCACATTGTCTTTTTCTTTCACTTTTAGCAATGGATAGGAAGGGCAAGGGACGTCAAAAGATTGAGATGGTGAAGATGAGTAACGAAACCAACCTCCAAGTAACTTTCTCAAAACAAAGAGTTGGTCTTTTTAAGAAAGCTAGTGAATTGTCCACTCTTTGTGACGTTGATATTGCAACGATTGTTTTTTCCCCTGTAAGAAGGCTTTTTCTTTTGGTCATCCTTGTGTTGAAAAATTGATTGAAGATTTCATTTGTGGTAATCCTCCACGAGATACTTCAGGAGCCATGACGCTCATTGAGGCTCACCGCAACTCAAGGATACATGAGCTCAATATGATCCTCACACAGGTTTGAGTAGACCATATTTAGATTTTAAAACTTAATATACTTATTTGATCTTATTTTTGTTGGATTAAAACTTATACTGACTTGTACTTATTATTTGAAAAATATAAAAATAGGTTCTCAATCAATTGGAAATCGAGAAAAATCACAATGCGGAGCTTAAGGAAATACAAAAAAAAATGTGAGAGTAAGTGTTGGTGGATGGGTCCGAAAAAGGAAATGAGTTTCTCACAACTTGAGCATTTAAAGACATCTCTTAAGGAATTGAAGAAGAAAGTTACTGAAGAAGCTGATACGATTATAATTCAGAACGAATTAAACATGATGCCTCATGTATTGAACGACCCAAACGCGATACCTAACGTGTTCAAGGATAATCCCAATATATATATTCAAGGAAATGGGAAAAAAAGATTCTACTAAGTACATTTCTTGATTAAGTCTTGGAAGGATGAAATTAAAAAGAGCTGTAAACACGATGCTTGTAGTTTGTTTTATTTTATTTATGTTAGATATCTGGTGCCTTAGCATTTCGGTTTTCATCATGTTCCTTTTCATTGCAATGTTGTGGTACTTTCTAAGAGTGTAATAATAACATAATTTTTTTATCTATGCATTTATTTTTATTTTCAAGTTGAAATCAACCAACTATTCTAAGAGTTGTAATAGGAGAAAATATTTTAAGTAATTTACTTTTAACTCATTAACTCAAGACAAAAGTAACGTCTAAATATAAAAAAAAAAAGATATTAAAGTCACATAATCGTGCTTCGATAAGAACATGAATCATCTTTGGGAAAACCTTCAATTATGTCATATTTATGCGAGTTAATTTTTTACGTTGACAATTATGAGTCTCTATTTTTGAATAAATACCTGTGTTGGTTAATTAACTAATATATATATACATCAAATTTAAAACAATATAAATAACATTTAATTAAAATCATACAGGGAAGTACAATCTCTTATATAGGAAGAAATATACCAACTATTCAGTTAAATAATGGTTGGTACAAGTCACATCTTGAGTTAGTCTGAAATATAATAAATGAAATGAATTAACTATATGGTAATTATGCATCCACGGACAAACTATTGAATTTCATGATCAAATTTTTATACATTGTAAGAGTTGTGATATATTTATTAGGTGACACTCTTGGTGACCTGTATGTTCATCCAATTTATTGATGCGATAAATAAATCATGATGATGAGTTAAAAGTCCTATAAATAATTTAATACTAAGCCTATATGGGTCACATGCACAAGCTCCAGCTAAGAAAATTCTACTACTTTAATGTGAGTAATTAATCTTAAAATAAATCAATAATGAAATTAAGTAATATTCATGGGAAATATTTTATTGAGAGTACTTATCTAAGTATGCAAATATATCTATATATTTGGGAATATATATCCCAAGTATGGATAATATCTTTATTAAATGTTAATTGTTTATTTAACTTATTCAATTATATGAGATATAATTTAAATAAAAATTCCCTAAAAAATGCATGGAAGATTTTATATTAGGACCAAACAGTATTAAATAAAAATTTTCAATCAAATGGATCAAAGAAATTGGATTTTGTTTAAGCAGGCTCAAGTTGAAGTGTTGTATAAGTAAAATAATTGTAAGTCACCTTTTGAAAGAGCTAAACATGAATTATATGAACTTTAAGTTTAACTGAATATCACACGCAATCGAATTAAAACTTTATTGTTATGAAGGTTAATCGACTGTCACAATTAAATTTAATTATTTAAAATTTTGAATTTTAAATGTGATCCAATTGATAGTTATAATTTAATTTGCAACTTCGATCCTCCCTTAATGCTTATAAATAAAATTAAAATTATCCATTGTACTAATGATCAATTAATTTTATAAAGAATTCATCATAGTTTTTAAATTTTAATATATCTTATAATACATTTTTAAGTTTTTTATTACTTTAACAGAAATTATCTAAGGATTTTTATCATTGCAATTTGATTCATTGTGTCTCGTAACAAGAGACAAATAAATAAAATTAAAAGTAGCTCTCTTACCTTCTCAATCCCAAATTAATATCGAGAATATATATACATATATATAACATAAAAAATGTAAAATTTTCAAGAAGGTTCAATTTTCATGTATATCCATCTAGCTATGTATCTATATATGTTAAAATAATGATGATTTTGCAAATTGTATAAAAGTAGAGCTAAAATTTAACTTTAATTGTCCAAATGTTTCCTACCATATATTTCAATAAGGAGGAGATTCTCAAGCAACCCTAAACAAGTAAATTATTAAAACAAGAAAATATATACAGGATGTCTACCTAAAATTTATTAATTCACAACCTTGATTCAAATCTCCTATAAATATCACTCATTTCCCCCTCTTTCAATACAAACTATTTCTCTCCATTAATCTCTCTATTAATTTCTCTCTGCACATATTCAATACTTGTAACCATGGTGAGAAAGAGTAAGGGAAGGCAAAAGGTTGAAATGGCGAAGATGAATAATGAAAGCAATCTCCAAGTCACTTTCTCCAAACGTCGAGCCGGACTTTTCAAGAAGGCGAGTGAATTGAGCACTCTATGTGGGGCTGAGATTGCTATTATCATCTTCTCACCCGGTCAGAAGGTCTTCTCTTTTGGCCATCCTTGTGTCCAAACTGTGTTGGAACGTTTTGTTAGTGGTAATCCACCACAAGCTGCATCTGGAACCATGAAACTCATTGAGACTCATCGGAACACTAGTGTCCGTGAGCTAAAAATGCAGCTCACTCAGGTTATTTTAATTAATTTCCTTTCTAATAAAACATTTTCGGTATAAATAATATATATTAATTTTACCACATGTACAGGTTCTTAACCAACTCGAAATCGAGAAGAAGCGAGGCGAAGAGCTTAACCATATGAAAAAGGCAAATGAGAATCAATGTTGGTGGATGGCTCGCAAGAACGATATGAGCTTGACACAACTTCAACAACTGAAGGCCTCTCTCGATGAACTGAAGAAGAATGTGGCTAAGCATGCTGAGAAGATTTTGATTCGTACCCAAAATAATAATCATCCTCATCATCATCTTCCTCATCCTCATCCTCATCTTCCTTATCCTCATCCTCATCCTCATCATCATCATCCTAACCATCCACTTTTTCTGGGAAGTTCTTCCGGTGGAGCAAGTCTTCCTTTTGAGACAAAGCCTGCTGGATTCAGTTCTAGCATTATTCCATTCAACAATCCGAATATGATGCCTCCAAAGTATCATGGATTTGGCCAAGGATTCTTCTAAGTGAACTTTTTTTATTTATTTAAAATGAATTTTTAATTTTTCCGGCACAGTAAATGCCTCAGTATTAGTCTTTATATTATGTTGGGTTTTAGGATTTTAGCTTCTAACGAGTAACGGTTTGTTCTAGAAAATAAGAAGCGTCTTATTTTATGTTATTTGTTTAAGTACTTTGTAATCGTTCAGTGATACTGCATCTAGTTCTTAATATAAGTTTTCTTCCTTAAAACCCTTTGCGCTTGATTATATATATATATGTATATATCTCAAACATTCTACTACGCTTTTTTTTTGTCATGCGTTGTGACACTATCAACTGCTACTTATATAACATATCGTAATATGTATTATTTTAATATATAAACAATTATTATCAAAATATTTACTCATTTATATTCACCATACAATATGTAAAACACATATATACAAGAGTTTAGCCTCTATTATATATATATGTGTGTGTGTGTGTGTATATATATACAGTGATCTATTATCTCTTATTTATTGTATACCATACCTCGAGAGATTGAGGAGAGTTTAGAGCTTGAGGTAAGCATACTAGAATTTTTCAATATCAAAAGCTTTCAGCTTAGAGATAGATATTAGATTACACAAGCATGACTTTTTGTTATTCGGGTAAATTTATGGAATAATTAGCATGCACAAGAATTAAATTACGTAAAAATTATAATCTACTATTTTCTTATGTACAATTTAAATGTATGTATGATACTAAATGACTGTATGAATCCAAATAAAAATAGAACATATAGGTTCTAGAGAAGGTAAGTAGTAGATCTATATAGAGATCAACTTTAAAAGTATAATATAGTTAATTTATTCTTATTTAACAAAAAAATTGTAAGAACGACATGATAGGAAAAATAAAAATAAATTGTGCATTAAAAAGATGATGCATGTACAGATATAAGTGCGCATTTTATTGAAATGTATATACGTATTTAATCATAAATCTGGCTATTACACTCTTATATTGAATTTGGAGCTATGTTGGAATCATAAATCTACTCAGCATATTATATTCTTTCTCAATTTTTTTTTATTTCTATTCCATTTGAATTTCTATTTTCTATATTTTTACACTGGATCTACAAATCGTTTATGTCTACAATTTATATCTTTTTCCCATGAAGACATCCTTCTATGCTCTAAGTTCGGTGTAGGTATCAAATATTGATCATATTGTAGCTATTATGTGAAGACAGCTACTAAATTTTATAATAAAAAATTTGCTGGCAATGCTTCTGAAATGCAGGGGACACTGCATATGGATTGGATAGATTGGTTATATTGTTAGCAGGAGCTAGTAAATAAGAGATGTCATAGCTTTCTTGAAGAAAACTATCGTACAGTGTGCTCTCACCCGAGCACCATCTGAAGTCGATCCACAGCAGCTAAAAGATCTTTCAATCTAAAACCAATAATCTCTTCTGTTTTTAGTCTGAACATATTTCTAAACCAGAGTTTCAAACATATATTTATACAGGAGAATTTGACTCTGCTTCCCGATTCATGTGATCCATTCAATTTTGATTAACGAGGGTCTTATTTTTGTATACTTATCTTACTATTTTTTAAAAAACTCGTAACAAAGAATGAAATTTTTTCGCTAAGGAAAACATATTTCTTACCAGATGCTTAATCAATGCATATAAGTGTGATATTCAGTCTTAAAATTTTATTTCAAAAGATTTATTGTTAAACATATTTTCAGACTAATTTTGTACACTAAAACTAAATATCTTTCAATTTTGAGAGCAAAATTAATCTTGAGAGCAATAAAGGAGGCCGATAAGGAAAAACATGCTAATAGATTTAAGATTAAATAGAAAAAAAAAAGAAAGAGAAATAGGAAGGGCTGCTGAATGATGCATTAACATGGCAATACTATTATGATATATTGTTTAAATTTTGAAGCCTTATGAAACACAAACAGATATGCATGAAGAACATATTGCGTTCAAGGACAAAAACAGAACAAGAAGACTGGAATATAAAAAATATATAGACACGTTTATATCAATGAGATTATGTCAAATTCAATAATAACGGTAGAATTTAACTTCTCTCTTGCGTTATACCGAGTGCATGACATATTCATTATCAGATAAGATCATCTTTTTGACCATGTTAAAATCGAGCCTTCTGAGTTACTTGAGAACAACTAAATGATATGTTAATACGGGAAATGCATAAAAGGCAAAAACTCTTGAACTATTTCACTTTAGTAAATTTATGATGATGTAAGAGCATTAGGTTATATAAATCTTCATAAACTTTTTATTTTGTGTTCCAAGATCGTGGCTATTATGATCATTTCCATGCCATTAATAAATTTCTTCTTTGAGATTGAACCAAACTTGATGCAATAATTTATTCATGAATGCATCTAATAATAAAAACCAAACAAAAAAACTGAAATAAATAAATAAATAACAAATAGATAGATCATATCGATGAGACTATTAAATTTATTCAGGGTAAAAACATTTTTAACTTCCCCCTAGCATTACACAAAAACTCATGCTTGTGTAATCTAATATCTATCTCTAACCTGAAAGCTTTTGATATTGAAAAATTCTAGTATGCTTACCTCAAGCTCTAAACTTTCCTCAATCTCTCAACGTATGGTGTACAATAAATATGAGATAATAGGTCACTGTATATATATATACACACACACACACATATATATAATAGAGGCTAAACTCTTGTATATATGTGTTCTATATTTTGTATGGTGAATATAAATGAGTAAATATTTTGATAATAATTGTTTATATATTAAAATAATAGATATTACGATATGTTATATAAGTAGCAGTTGATAGTGTCACAACGCATGACAAAAAACATCCCGTCATCCCTTGGAGAACCCTCGACTGAACTCGAGTTACCTTGTTCCTTCTTTAGCTTCTTTGCAAGTTCGGCAACATCATTCCACAAGGCCTTCATACCAACATCCAAAACTTCAAGCTCTTCCAGGTTGAATTTGTCCATTGAACGCGTATAATAAAGCTCTTTCATCAAGCCTTTTCTTCTTTGTTTAAGCTCTTTACCTCACTTCCTTGCTGCCTCCTCCTTGTCTTGAGCCTGTTATCATATACACATATTCATGTATTTGCAGTATTAGATAAGCAATTAGGCTAAAGATTTGAAAGTCCAACAAAAAATTCAAAATATATCACGTAATGTCATTGATTTAAGTATTAGTGACTCATGATAATTTTGGATTATCATAAATGGATATTATAAAAAAAAGATAACAAATAAGTTGCTAACACCTCAGTGATCCTACTGATTATTTGTTGAGTATCATTGTCGTTGTTAGGATCTCGAGCTGGACGAACATCAATACTAAGAAAACGATTAATCACAATATCGATATTAGGATTGCCATAGCAGAAGGCCCTATTTCCATGGGAGAAAACAATAAGGCCAACATCTGGTCTACAAAGAGTGCAAAGTTCACTCGCC